TTTTGCAAGACCTTATCAAGCAAAATTGATCATTTCATTTTGAACGGGGAAAAGGATATTTGGCAAGATAAACAGGTATGCGGAGGTGATCCGCGGCATAACGCCTACCTGCTCTTCAAACTGGGCTGGGCAGCCCATTTGGCAAGCGTTACATTCTGTCCCGTAGAACAAGGTTTACGCATGTACTAAAGTGCTGAGCTGCAGCTTTCGATGCCAGAATTCTTGCCAACCATAAGCCCGTGTACGCACTTAGTGTACTCAGGGAAGTTGGCAGGGGATAAAGATAGAATCCAGTGTCCCAGCCAGGGGAGGGCCTCCTTTTTCACAAAAGGCTGCAATATAAGAGACATTTAGCATACTGATGAGGATGGGAAAATGAAGCCTGCTCTGAAATGATGATTCGATCCTGGAAGCAGAAATGGTGGTTTGGCGCAATGTCTGAATTGAGTTATCCATGATATCTACAGTCAGCCCTGGACAAATGTTTCCAGTGGGCTCAGTTGCTTATCTTGAATAGGAAAATGTCTCGTACAGGTAGTCTTCGACTTAACAATAGTTCGTTTAAGGACCGCTTGAAGTTACGATGACGCTGAAAAAAGCGACTTAAGACTGATTTTCACACGTAGGACCACTGTAGCATCCCCGTGGTCCAATGATCAAAATTCAGACACTTGGCCACTGACATTTATGACAGTCTCATGTCCCAAAGGAGCTTTTTTTTTTTTCCCAAGAGGCACCTGGACTTTCTTGGTTTTTCTTTGAAGATGTTTCGCTTCTCACCCAAGAAGCTTTCCTCAGCTCTGGCTGGATGGTGAGGAATGGGAGGATTTATAATCCTTGCAGACAGCTGGTCGTTTGCATCCTTTTAGAGTTGTTAAGGCAACTTGGAGTCCCAAAGGTGCTTTTTTCAAGAGGGCAACTGGACTTTCTTGTTTTTCTTTGAAGACGTTTCGCTTCTCACCCAAGAAGCTTCTTTAGCTCTGACTGGATGGTGGGGAATGGAAAGATTTATACTCCTTGCAGACAGCTGGGCTGGTCATTTGCATCCTTTTAGTGGGTTGTTGAGGTCACTTGGAGGTTGATCCTCAGGGTCACCTAAATGGTGCAAACGGGTGTGGAGCCTTCTTGGAACTGCTGTAGTATTTTGGAGATAGATGATGTTGTATTCTCCCCGCCCCACACCCCCTCTTGAGAGAGGGATGTTCAGTGTCGACACAGGTGGCCTCTTTGACTCCTCTTTCAAGCCAGCGGTCCTCTCTGCCCAAAATGTTTGGACTTTGCTGCCTTCCAAAGAGCGGCCTCTGTCTTTTAAATGCAGATCGACTGCTGAATCTTGTCCTGATGGGCTTGTTCTCCTATGTTGTGCCATGCGCTTATGGTCACACGATTAAAATTCAGATGCTTGGCGACTGGCTCATTACAGTATTTATGACAGTTGCGGTGTCTTGTGATTCATCTTTTGCGGCCCTCTGAAAGGCCAAGTCGGTGGGGAAACCAGATTCACTTCACAACCGTGTTACTAACTTAACAACCACAGTGATTCACTTAACAGTGGCAGGAAAAGTGGTAAAACGGGGTAAAACTTGCTTAGCAACAGAAACGGTGGGCTCAATGGTGGTCGTAAGTCGAGGACTACCTAAACAGAATAGATGTTCAAACGTTATCAGACCAAGAGGAATAACTTATTAACTTAGTGTCCTTTTAGGGGGGGCGCAAGTACATTTTCTTACCTTCTCTCTTTTTTTTTTCTAGGTGTGCCATATAGTCTTAGGTTTAAGACCTGCCACTCCGGGAGATGAAGGACAAATCATTAGGTAGGTTTTGATCTTCTGACATCACCTTTCAAATGAATTTCAGAGACTCTTTCCTAGCTTAAAATAAGATGTGCGTTGTGGACCAAAGAACGTAAGCAAGGCAACGTCTTTGGTTTCCACCAATCAAGGCCGTGGAAGAAATAAGACGCATCAGGACTTGATCTCCAGATTGGGACCAAGAGAAAGGGGTTCAACTAGATCAGGGGTGTCAAACTCGATTTCATTGAGGGCCACATCAGGGTTGTGTTTGACCTCGGGGGGGCTGGATGGGCTTGGCCAGGGTGGGCGTGGCCAACTTGTTGTCACTCATATCAGGGGCACCTATGGTGGCCGGTGGTGCTTCTGCCGATGAAAATGGAGCTTGGGAGGGCCACGCATGGCCCGTTGCAGGAGGCCATCCCAGCCAAAAACTGAGATCGGGAGCCCATTTTCGCTGGCAGAAACACTGCAGGCCAGTCCTTCGCTATTTCCAGGCCAGCAGCTGGATTCGTGAATTCTATGCCCCGGTTTGCTTTAACACTGTTTCGTTGGGAAAAAGTTGTAGAAGGTGGCCGCAGACCGGTACCAGTCCGTGGAACATTTCCTACTGGGCTGCCGGTTTGCTGGGCGCCGCCATCTTGTTTGACAAGAAAGTGCTTCCGGGTGAGTTTTTCTGGTTGGAAAGCGGCGTTTGGGTCCTGAAGGAATCCTCGTGCCTTAGTTTCATCCAAGGGGGGTGGCTTCGAACGAAACTAAGGCGCGAGGATTCTTTCAGCACCCAAGGCAAGGCGAGCCGAGCGACCGTCCCGAAGCCGTCCCGAAGCGAAGCCCATCAACAAAGGTACAAAAGGAGGAGTTGAAGGTGGCGGGGAGAAGCTGGGGACGGCTGGCTGGCCGGTCGCTCAGCTCTCCTTGCCTTGTCATGCGTGCTGATGCCTGTACTGGGCCACGGATCATTTTGTGATGCCGGTACCGGGCCGTGGCACAAAAAAGGTTGGGGGCCACTGGATTACAGGACGTCCTCGACTTAATAATCATTCCTTTAGTGACTGTTTGAAGTTAACAGCAGCACTGAACAAGTAACTTACGATTGATCCTCACACTTATGACTGTCGCAGCATCCTCACTTGTCACAGCATCCTCCTATACATGGACAAAATTCAGATGCTGGCAACTGGCGTGTATTTAGGATGGTTGCTTCGTCCTGGGGTCACGTGATCACCATTTGTAATCTTGCCAGCCCACTTGCAACAAGCAAAGGCAGTGGGGGAAGTCAGATCCACTTAACAACTGCAGTGGTTCTCTTAACAACTGGCAAAAAAGGTTGTAAAATGGGGCCTAAGCAGCTGAGTTGGAAAAAGCAGGAAATAAAGGACAGCCTAGAGCCCGGGCGGAGGGTGGGGTGTGCCAAACAGTAGAACAAAAGATCGTCAGAGCAGTCAGGTTCCCCTTAAGTTGATCTTTGGAGCTACTGGTTTGGTAGAACCGGGCCAAACTGGAAGAATCCCACCTCTGCTTAGGCCCCACTCAGTGGAGTTTATGTCGTATAGAATTGCTCTGTAAGTGACTAGCATGATGCTTTTATCTCATCTTTGGTGAACATGCCTATATTACATACATACATACATACATACATACATATATATATGTTTTCTGAGGTTCTCGCGGGTATTTGTATGTGGATCTTTAGTTATTTGGGTTTTCTCCCGCGTAAGATTGGAAGTATCTAGGCAACGTTTCGATGAAGTCTCATTCATCATCTTCAGGCTTGTGTCTTCGGCCTAGATACTTCCAATCTTACGTGGGAGAAAACCCGAATAACCAAAGATCCATATATATATATATATATGGTATTCAGCTTTGTTCGGGTATTTCCCACTCTCAAACAAAAAAATCTCCACACCACAAGCCAGGCAAACACCTGGGCACAAACAGATCCCCCCCTGATACCTCCAGCTCAAACACACCCCAACCAGGCACCCAGATGAAACCTAGCTTCCTAATAAATGATAGCCGTCCATTCACTCGGAGCCAAGCTGCACTAAAAGCCTCCAATACAGGAAACACAATGCCAGCCAATCAAGACAAAAAATGCTACAGAACAGACAGAAGATATTAGAAACACCAATCAAGCAGAACACAGCAAACTCCAAGACCAATAAACACAGACCAAAACTTCCAACTAAACAGGATGAAGAAAAAACCATTCTGGCACAGCAATAGGCTAGCACCAGATTTAAAACAGAAACGGCTGTGAAAGTCTGACTCACAGACAAACACAATACAGAAGCCTGATGATGGCAGATGAGGTTCTGCTGAAACATTGCTACAACTTTAAAAGCACAACTATAATGACGTGGGAAAATACCCGAACAAAACTGAATTACATATACATATACATATACATATACATATACATATACATATACATATACATATACATATACATATATACACACACCATAGAATATTATGACGCTCTGTAACACAGGCAGTCCTCAACTTACCACCACAATCGAAACCAGAAATCCCATCGCTAAGCAAGGCATTCGCTAAGTGAGTTGCGCCCAATTTTATGGTCTCTTTTTGCCGTGGTTGTTAAGCGAATCGCCTCCATTGTTAAGTGAACCACATGGTTGTTAGGCAAATCCAGCTTCCTCCATTGGCTTTTCTTATTGGAAGCCAGCTGGGAAGGTTCTGGGAGGTTGCCACCATCATAAATAGATGCCTTGTTGCCAAGCGTCCAAATTGTAAGTGCAAGGACCTATTGCAAGCCACTTTTTCACTACTAATGTAGCTTCTAATGGTTGCTAAAACATTTGGTTGTAAGTTGAGGACTACCTGTATATGTGAAACACTGAATGTCTTTAAAAGCCAAGTGGAGATGTCAGGATGTCATGCAACAAAATAACGTTGAGGTCCCTGAGGATTCCTCCCCCCTCCCAATCTCTCTCTCTCTCTCCCTCTCCCTCCCTCTCTCTCCCTTTCCCCTCTCTCTCCTCCCCCTTTCCTCTCTCTGTCTCTCTCCCCCCCCATCTCTCTCTCTCTCTCTCACATACACACAAACAATGATAAACGGGGACTGGGAACAGTGAGGTCAGAACTGAAATGAAATACACAAAGGGCAGCTAGAATTAATTCCATTGTCAAGGTACACTTTCAACAATGAGTTGTTAAAGGATCTAACAATGGCATTCCGGCACTATCAAATTAATGGGCAGAGATATGTGATAAAAAAAATCCCTTTGTCTCTACTTCAGCCACCAACCTATTGTAATTAAAAGAGCACAATTGTCAAGAAATTCAGTCAGATTATTAGTTCCTGAAGCCAGGAGTAAGATTTTATCTGGCTGTATATGCTAATTATCTCGTCAGTGCCGGATGCCTTTGTAATCACTGTCTCGCAAATGGCCACTGTGAACAACATAAGTACCACTTTCTGTACCCTATGAATTTTGTTTTCTTCTGCTTACGTTCCTGCCCCTCTCTCCCCAAACTATAGATACAGTCCTGTGATTCTTGATAATATTGTTAGTTTTGATGCAATGGATAATATTGTCAGTTTTGATGAAATTGGCCTGGCGAATTATGTCCAATGTCTGTGTGTACAGTGGTACCTTGGTGCTCAACTGCTGTGAAACTCATCGAATTGGGTCCTCAACGCATTTTGACACAAACCTTTTGTCCCCGGGAATCATCATTTGTTGGGTACTCAATGTACAAGCTAGAACTTGCTACATTGTTCCTTATGGGAAAAATGGTGTGTTACTCATCGTTTTTGATGCTCATTGCCCCTCCCGGAACCAATTAATGATGAGTACTGAGGTACCACTGTATTTGGCTGTAGGATAATACAATCCTATTGCAATAGGGTTATTATTTATTTACCCTTCTTAGCATCTTTTTTACTACCCTCTTATTGGCATTATTATGATGTTTATCATTATTCTGTTGCTTTGCATGTACACTGATAGCTTCAGCACCAGAGACAAATTCCCTATCTGTCTAATCACATTTGGCCAATAAAGTATTCAATCCAATGTGAAATAATGGTAATGTGAAAGTAATGCATTTGTAAGGAAGGCTTTGAGGTTGAAGATGCTTAACATGGTTGCCCTTCCAGAAGTTAATCATTTGACACCTTCATTCTGACAGTGGTTTTCAAATTGTTATGAACGCCCAAAAAACTTGGTTTCTTAAACTAGCCTTCCTCCAGATACATTTGATAAGGCAACCTAGAAGACATTAGACTCTTTGTAGACCGGTGTTTCTCATATTATTTATTTAGCCCGTGGCATACAACGTCAGGAAAATCTACAAATGCTAGACTCAATGCAGTCCTGACATCCTATATTTCTAGTTCCTTGTGTTCAGCATTTGCACACCTATACTTGGTGCACCGCAATGGGCTAGCTCACACCAGCTGACTAGTGGTCCTTGGGTTGTTGGCTCTTCCGGGCTCCTCTGCCAGTCTCACCTCAGCGCATGTCGCATTGCCTTGCATTCAGCCAGGTCCAGCACCAGCTTCCGCTCCCCCCCACCCCGCACACAAACATGGCTAGGTTTTTCCTATTGAGCTGGTACCCTTGGTGGAGCAGTGGTGAAGCCTTGGTGGTGAAGCCTTGGTGGTGCAGTGGTTAGAGTCCAGTACTACAGGCTACTTCTGCTGGCTGCCGGCTGCCTGCAATTTGGCAATGCAAATACCACCAGGCTCAAGGTTGACTCAGCCTTCCGTCCTTCCGAGGTCGGTAAAATGAGGACCCAGATTGTTGCAGGGAGGGGGCAATACGCTGACTCTGTAAACCGCTTAGAGAAGGCTGTAAAGCACTGTGAAGCAGTATATAAGTCTAAGTTCTATTGCTACCCATTTATCTACTTGCAGTATTGCGTGCTTTCGAACTGCTAGGTTGGCAGGAGGCTGGGGAGCAAACGTTAGGAGCTCGCCCCATCTTGTGGAGCTGAGCTCGAACCATTGGCATGCAGACCATTTCTGGCCAGCAGTTCCAGCCTCATTAAGCCCCTGCATCACCGCACCCCTGAGACTATTTCTCAACCTTGGCAACATTAAGATGGGTGGACTTCAACTCCCAGAATTCCCCAGCCAGGTAGGGATGAATTTCCCCAGGCTGGCTCAGTTCTGGGAGTTGAAGTCCACCCATCGCAACGCTGCCAAAGTCAAGAAATACACGTGGAGATATTGAAGCACAAGTGCTGTTAAGTATTGCACCACTGATCTCTTCCTTTTTGTTTTCTTGGCGCAGAGGCTGGCTAGAACGTGAGAGTAGACATGGCCTTCAACAAGGACACAACTGGTTTCTCATCGCAATGCAGTGGTGGCAGCAGTGGAAAGAATACGTCAAATACGTAAGTCGCAAACCGGACCCGGGAGAGAGAGTGGCTGGATCGAGAAGCGGGTGAATAAATAGCGTGTCAGTGTCCGTGTACCAGAATCAGATGGCGGATGAACTTCCCTCACCCTTTAGGACAGTGTTTCCCCCACTTTGGTATCATAAAGATGGGTGGATTTCAACTCCTAGAACAGGGGCTGTCAAACTCCCGGCCTGCGGACCGGATGCGTCACGGCACTGGCTATGCCCACGCCGGGTTTAGCGAATGGGGGGGGGGGGAAATTCCCCCGATACCCCCCGTGACGCCACCATGACGACGTGAGTTTGACACCCCTGTCCTAGAATCTCCCTGCCAGCCATGTTGGCTTCTCATCCTAAGAACCTTCTTCTGTTCTGAAGAAGAAGTTTCTTGGATGGAAAGTGAAACATTTTCGAAGAAAAAAAAAAAAACCCAAGGAAGTCCAGTTGCCTATTGGAAAAAGCGCCTTTGGAACATTCAAGTCTCTTTTGCTCTCCTCTTGTCCCCCTCGGCTAATGAAAACTGGAGGTCTCTGGCAAATTTACAGGATGGAATTTGTATACAGTCATAATTTTGACTGCTTCAAAACTTGTCGAAGTCGGTACTCGATGTGTTTTGAAGCAGAAATCTTTTTCCCGGCACTCGTCTTTCTCCTGGTAGTTGATACGCAAGGACGAACTTGCTGACGTCAGCTGCCTCGTGACTCGCTATTTCTTCCAGCCAAAATAGCAGGTCAAGTGGTTTCCTCCTTACATGTCAGTTTTGGTATTTGTTGTATCTCTCCCAGGAACAAATTACCAACAGTTACTGAGGTATCACTGTGATGGACAAACCCATACACCGCCTTCCAGGCCAAGAAAACCACAATTGGAAGTACTTGGGCCTTTCTGAGCTACCGTCTTGCTCTACAATTGAGCTCTGACCCAAAGGTGCTTTTTTTTTTTCCAAGAGGCAACTGGACTTTCTGGTTTTTCTTTGAAGGCGTTTCACTTCTCATCCAAGAAGCTTCTTCAGCTCTGACTGGATGGTGAAGAATAGAAGGATTTATTCCCCTTGCAGACAGCTGGTCATTTGCATTCTTTTAGCTCGTCGTTGAGGCCTCTTGGAGGTTTATCTGTGTTCTCAGGGTTACCTGAGTAGTGCAAATGGGTGTGTTTTTTTCAAGAGGCAACTGGACTTTCTGGTTGTTTCTTTGAAGATGTTTTGCTTCTCCAAGAAGTTTCTTCAGCTCTGACTGGACGGTGGGGAAGTCAGAGCTGAAGAAGCTTTTGGGATGAGAAGCAAAACATCTTCAAAGAAAATCCAAAGTTCAATTGCCCTTTGGGACAGCTACGACCTGGATGATTGAGAATCTCCATAGGAATTGAGTTCTGACTTTCTTTTCCAATTTAGGATGCTCCCCCTGTTATGATAGAGCCTGTGTCTGCTTCAAATGGAGGTAAGACTTCCCTCCTGAGTCCTGGGACACCCACATCCGAGCTGGGAGATGACCGAACGGGTGCTTTGAATAACATCAATGCCGCAGAAGAAAAGTTTTCAGATGATATTTCCAGCGCGTCAGAAGCATCGGAGACAACTAACAGCAGTAAGCATTAACCCCCGAAAGCAACAACAGCCTGACAAACTGTTTTATTTCTAAAGAGCTTGGAAGGTAAACCGAATGTGTGAAAATGGTCGAACCAGGTAAGAGGTTTGGCTAAATTTACGAATGATTCACTTATTCAAACAGAAACATTATGTGGACATGTGAAACAATAAGAAAAGAATACCGGTAGTCCTCGACTTAATGACCACAATTGAGCCCAACATTTCTGTGATTAAGTGAGACATTTGTTACGACCTTCCTTGACACAGTTGTTAAGTGAATCCCTGCATTTGTTAAGTTAATGACACGGTTGTTTAGGTCAATCCAACTTCCCCACTGAGTTTGCTTGTTAGAAGGTTGCAAAAGCCGATCTCGTGACCCTGGGGCACTGCCACCGTCATAAATACGAGTCAGTTGCCAAACCAGTTAATTCCTGTAGTTGTTAGGTTAGTAAGTGAATTGAGTTTGCTTGCAAAAGAGGATCACATGACCCTGGGACACTGCAACTGTCCCAAGCCTTGTTCAAATCAAACAAACACAATTTTTTCATAAAACCTCTTTTAATGGGGCGCTGCGAATGCTGTGCATTCACGACCAAGAGTCATTTCAAACTAATTGTCCCAGATAAGAGCAAACCCTTTGAAGGTTGCAAAAGGCTGCCGAGAGCAAAAGACAAATTGCAGATAAATATCCCAAGCCAAAAGTTTCAAAAAACAAACTTCGACGAGAACTCTGAGCATAATGAACTTACTTGCTTCCTGCAAAGAAGCCAACCCCGAAGGCTAGCTTTTTATCCCTTATGGGAGGGGCCATCACCTTCCAGCCTTACTCCCGAGTTGCCTGTGCAGCTTCAGCTGCTCTTTCCTTCGAGCAGCCCTGTGCACACGTGCACTGAGCACAGGCTCCGCAGGTCCCCCTTCGTCACGGCTGCCAGACTCCACAACCTCCGAAGGCAGCGCCCCACTCTCCAATCGCCCTGGCCCCATTCCTGCATCACACGCAGGCCCCTCATTTGAGTCCTCGCTGTCAGAGATCTCAGCCGTCCGCACTGCTGCCGGCGAACCACAACACTGTCTCATAACTACGAGTCAATTGCCAAGTATCCGAATTCAGATCAAAGGATGCTGCGCCGGTTGTAAGGGTCAAAAACGGTAATAAATCATTTGTTTCAGTGCCTTTGTAACTTTGAACAGCCACTAAACAAACTGTTGTAAGGCGAGGACTACTATATGGCCTCCTGAGAAAACGAAGGAGGTGCCAAGATCCTGTTATAAGAGGTTGAGGGATCATAAAAAGCAGCTTTCCAGATGTCGGGAAGCTCATAATTCATACAATTTTCAAGTCAGCACACAGAAGGTGACATTTGAAGGGAGTTATAATTCAGCCATACCTTCGGGGCCACTGGTTTGTTCCTTACTAATATTCTGCCGTAACTTTGCACCCTTCGGGCTTATTTTTGCTTCGTCCTGCTTTACCTTCCAGATTTTGTTCATGCCACCACTCCCAATACCGAGATGTCTTTGGCTCGACAGCTCAATTCTTCGGACAACAACAATCAGTGCCTCCTTGCCTCTAATGGGAATATCTTACTGCAGCTGCTGAATCCACAGCGGCCCGGAGCAATCGATAATCAGCCACTTGTAACGCAAGAGCCCGTGAAGGTAAGCGTCTTATAAGTATAAAAACAATACAGCAGGGGCTCTCAACCCCTGGTCGGTGGACCGGCACCGGTCTGTGGCATGCCAGCAACTGGCCCGCGCAAACAAATGAAGCCCCAACCTACAGATGAGGAGGTAAAACCATGCCCCTTCCAGTCCACGGAAAAAACTTTCCTCCGTGGAACCAGTCCCAGGTACCCAAAACATTAGGAGCAGGGGTGGGCTTCAAAAATTTCAGCAACCAGTTCTCTGCCTGGTTGGTGGGTGGGCGTGGCCATGTCAGCCTCCTGCATCGGGGGCGTAGCCATGGTGGGCGTGGTCATATCAGCCTCCTGCATCGAAGGGGGGGGCATTTTTGCCCTTCCCTGGCTCCGGAGGCTTTCCTTGAGCCTCTGGGAGGGCAAAGATGGCTTCCCCCAGGCTCCAGAGGCCCTCCAGGGGCTGGAAACAGGCCCATTTCTGGCCTTCCGGAACTTCCGGGACGCCCTTTTTTCGCCCTCCCCGAGCCTCTATGCGGGATCTGCACTTATTTCATATCCAAAACGGGCCAGGTGGAGACTCTTGGGAGGGCGGGGTGGGGTGGGAGGGACAGAATGGTGTGGGCGGGGCCAGCCAGAGGTGGGATTTGGCAGTTCTCCAAACTGCCCATAATATTAGCTACAGATTCTCCTGAACCCGGGCCAACCCGTAGCAGCCTACCCCTGGTTAGGGGCCCCTGTAATGCAGGTAGTCCTCAACAGCCTGACCTGTTGGGTGTTATAAGCAGGCTGCATTTTTTTTTAGCTTCTGTTTCAAGGCAGGGGTGGATTGGGGTTTTAAAAAACCATCTTTTTCAAGTATTTTGTGCTTTAACAAAATACGACACCTCCATAAAAAGGCTTGGAACTGAATCAATCGGTATGATTGGAGTGATGAGAGCTGTCAGGTACCCTTTAAATTTGGGCAGCTGCCCTATTCAGGTTGTGCTGAAGATATTTGCAAAACTTACTTTTGGCTTATTTAATTAATTTAAACTCTGCTCTTTAGCCAAAGGCTAAGCAGTGAAACGGATTTGCAATCTGGAGACAGAATTAGAATGAGAATTCTTAATTGACCAAGTGTGATTAGACAATCGGGTCACGATTCAAAAATTGGGTGGCGAACAAAATCAGTGTGAAAAGATTCCCTTTCTGCACCAATTTCCCCTTCGGCACCAATTTTTTTTTTTTACTGCGCACACGCACAGTCATTTGTGCTTCCGGACACAACCAAATTGGGTCATGACCAGAGTCCGGGAACGGATTATGGTCGCAACCCGAGGCTCCACTGTACTATATAAGCAATCAACATAACTTATACTAAGATACTAAGTAAACAATGTAAATCATAAGATACAAGCAACAAAGTAATAGTTATAAGAAGATAAGGAGAGAAGTAATGGGGAAGATGAGAATAATGATGGTAATACTGCTGTCAACTCTGAAGCTAGCCTGACGTGAGGCCATCATGGAGGCTTCAGTGTTGCCACAATGGGGCTGAGGGATTGGGGGGGGAGTAGAGATAGCTGGGGGTTTTGTAGCCAAAATAAAATAGTTCCCCTGGAGAACCAAGGACAGGTGGCTGAAGAGAGGAGGAGTGAAGTTTCCAAGCAACCGTATGGCACTTTGATTGGAACCTGTGATGGATTATTTGGGAAAGGGGGAAAACTTTTACTTTGAATTAGGTGAAAACTGTGGGAACCTTTAAGAGTCGGTTTTCACCAGTCTGTGCCAAAATGATAGATCCAATTAACTTGTTCTTGAGGAAACTGCATGCCTTGGAGTTCTGTTTGCTTAATGGATGTATTACTCGGGACCTGTACAACTGCCTTTCTAAGTAGTTTTGACAGTGTTGTGGGAAGTAGTTGTATAATTCGTTATTATAATTAGTTATAATAATCAAGGAAAAGAGACAAGGAGGGAAAAGGGGAAAAGTCGGCACAGGGACCATTTCTTCATGGGTCAGGGTCTCTTACTAATGCTGTCATCTCCAGGGTTAGAAAAAAGAGAAGTGGTTCATTGCCAGAAGAAACCACAGAATGACCATGTTGAACAAGCATGCAAATACCCTGTTTCTCCAACAATACGGCCTCCCCCAATAGGAAGTCCCAGCATGTTTTATAGGCATGAAATGAAATTAAGCCCCTCCCCCCAAATTAAGGCCTATATTAAAACATGCAAAATGGGGGGGGAATGGCGGGGGGGGGGGCTTGCCGTTAGGAAGTACTTTTGTTGCACACCCAGATATGGTGCTGCCTGCGTTGACCCCGATACAAAGTGCCCCACCAACGCCGAGGTCAACATCCAAGCCGTCGCCGTCCGCCCGCCCGAAGATGCAAGTGGGGGGGGGGATTAAGTCACCCCCGAAAAGATGACCTAGCCATTTTTTCGGGGCTCAAAAAAAAAAAAAAAATCCCAAACCTTTTTAATGACCAAATCCATTTTGGGAAATGGGACGGCCTCCCTAATATTGCTCAGCCTATTCTATTCATCTGCATTAATTTTTTTTATTTGGTTTGGGATTTTAAATCTTCCTGCATGGGGCAGTTTGAAGAAATTTGATAAAAGACAAAAATCAGAATCTTCTTCTTTTTATTTTTTTGAAGGCGCCATCATTGACTTTGGAAGGCGGGCGATTAAAACCATCGCCCCAATTAATCCAAGGGAAAAATTACGAAATGGTCCCAGAACCGGTGTGGAGAGCCCTCTACCATTGGTACGGAGCAAACCTGTCTTTGCCCAGACCGGTAAGTACTGAAAATGGGCGATGATCCTTTTAGGTCAGTGGTCACCAACCAGAGGGCCGGAGACCACCGGTAGTAGTCTGTGAGAAAATTTTTGGTGGTCCGCAGAGAAATGTCCCCCCCCCCGCCCCCCAAGTAATTAAGTCAGGCTGCATGGGAACACAAGGCTGTGCCACCCATATGGCCCGCGGGAACACAAGGCTTGCGTCGCTTGCATTGTGAACAACACAAGGTAGTGAAGGGAGGGGGAAAGGGGGGAGGGGGAACTTGCCGCACATGCGCCTGGCCTGGCCTGGCCACTGGGCTGCTTCTTTCTGCTTCTTTCTTCTGCTTTTGGCAGCATGCAAGGAAAGCAGCAAAAGTCTTTCTTTCTTCCCCCCCAAACTCCGCCTGAAATGAGTCTTTGGGACCCTGCAAGGCATCCTGCTCCAAGAGGCTACACCAGCAAAGACTCATTTCTGGCAGAGTTTGGGAGAGAGAAAGAAAGATTTCTGCTGCTTCTGCTGCTTTCCTTGCATGAAGTCAAAAGTCTCTCTCTCTTTCTCTCTCTCTCTCTCTCTGAGAACGGGGCTGGAGATGGTATCCTGTGATCCCAAATAAAGAACGATCGATCAGTAGGAAAACAGGGTGGGGAATTTTCCCTGTAGAGTTTTTTGGGGATTTTCCCAGGGTTTCTGGTCCATGGGATTTAAAATTATGAATTTGGTGGTCCTTGAGGTCCAAAAGGTTGGTGACCCCTGCTTTAGGTTGTTACCTTCAACCGGGCTCTTCAAAACATTCGAACTGAATTCTTTAATATTCCTAATGATCACCAAAGCCCTTGCGGATTGTAAATTGGTTGACTAAAGATGTAGACACAGGTAATCCTCAGCCTACGGCCACAATGGAGCCCAAAATGTATGTTGCTAAGTGGGAATTTTTTTAAAGTGAGTTTTGTCCCATTTTATGACTTTCTTGCCACAGTTGTTTAAGTGAATCTGGTTTCCCCATTGACTTCGCTTGTCAGAAGGTTGCAAAAGGGGATCACACGACCCCGGGGCATTGCAACCGTCGTACATGTCAGCCAATTGTCAATCGTCTGAATATAAATCACATGGCGACAGGGATGCCGCAGCAGTCGCAAGTGTGAAAAATGGCCATAAGTCGCTTTTTTCAGTGCCGTTGTGACTTCGAATGATCACTAAGCGAACTGTTGTAAGCCGAGGCCTACCTGTACAGTGGTACCTGGGTACTCATTATTAATAGGTTCTGGGAGGTGCCATGAGTGTCAGAAACGAGGAGTACCAAACAAATTGTGGCATAGTTTTTCTTTGAAGATGTTTTGCTTTTCATCCAAGAAGCTTTTTCAATTCTCTAATGGTTAAAAAAAACCCTCACCTTTCTTTGCTAATAACAAGTAATTTGCTACAGGTAGTCCTTGACTTACAACCGGTCGCTTAGTGACTGTTCAACGTTACAATGACTCCCACAAAGGTATTTAGAGCCAGTTCCAATGTTCTGATGCCCCCCCTGAAGTCACATGACCACATTTCAGTCACTCAAGACCGGTCGCACATTTACTGTTGTTGGTGTCATCCTGCAGTTAACGTAACTACAATTTGCAATGTTTTTCCTCAAAATCACTGTTTACTTCTGCCCATAGCAACAGCAATAGCACTTAAGACTTACGTACCAGTTCCCAGTGTTTTATAGTCCTCTCTAAGTGGTTTAATTTTACCCACTTCGGGAGGGTGGAAGGCTGAGTCAACCTTGAGCCTGGTGAGATTCAAACGGCCAAATTGCAGGTCGCTGGCAGTCAGCAGAAGTAGCCTGCAAGTACTGCACTCTAACCACTGCGCCATTGCGACTCATAAGGAACAATGGGCTTACTTAATGACTACTGCAAAAAAAAACGCTCAAATGGGGCAGGTCACATGATGATCTGCTTTACAACTATCAGAACTTACGACCATATTTGGTAGGTTCCGTTATGTTCGTAAATCAAGGGCTACCTTGTAATTCGATGCTCAGAGTTTTTAAAAAGTCAGATGAACTTGCAGTTTATCTCAGTTTAGTGGGAGGCAAAAAAAAAAACCCACCCTGTCCGAGACATTGAGGGCAAACGTCTCTAATTGTGGTTTGTGGGACTCTCTAGCCAAGATAAATGTATTTGGCTAGATGGAAGTGCTACAGCAGCATGCATCAGGTAGAAAAAAAAAGAACCTGATTTGGGATTTCTGATATCTCCCAGCATATGTTTTCCATTAAAATATCCCCTCCAACTCATATTCTGGTTTTATTCATAACCCTAGAGTGTTGAGCTTTACAAAAAAATACACCCACGCACAAAATTGGATATCTTTTTGACTTGGTAAGTTAGCTCTGTGCCAAAATGGATATTACGGTGCTAAATGTGCATTTTTAAGAGATTAGGTTGTGAGGGAATTGGGTTTTTTTTTAATTTCTCCACAAGTATAGTGGCATCTTAAAGCAGAGGTGGGGAAGTAATGTGATAAAAAATAAGTGAGGTACTAATACCACTCTATAAAGCCTTAGTAAGACCACACCTAGAGTACCTCATCCAGTTTTGGTCACCACATTATAAAAACGGTGTTGAAAGACTAGAAAAAGTACAGAGATGAGCAACCAGGTTGATTAGGGGACTGGAGACTAAGGAATATGAAGAACAGTTGCAGGAACTGGGCACGGCTAGTCTAGTGAAGAGAAGGACCAGGGGAGACAGGATAGCAGTCTTCCAATATTTGAGGGGCTTCCACAGAGAGGAGGAAGGGGTCAAGCTATTTTCTAAAGCACCTGTAGGCCAGACAAGGAACAATGGATGGGAACTGAACAAGGAGAGATTTAACCTGGAAATAAGGAGAAACTTTCTGACAGTGAGAATAATCAACCAATGGAACAGAAGTTGCCCTCAGAAGTTGTGGGAGCATCATCGCTTGAGACTTTCAAGAAGAGATTGGACTGCCATTTGTCGGAAATGGTATAGGGTCTCCCACTTGGGCAGGGGGTTGGACTAGATGACCTACAAGGTCCCTTCCTACTCTGATTATCTGTTATCTTTTATCTGTTAAGAATGTCCATCTACCGGCACACGGTTTTAATGGATTAGAGCTGGCTGCTTGATTGTCACCTATCGGCAACTTAAGCCCAGGGGCACAAGATGGAAGTAAAGAGTAATAAACAGCGTGACATGTGGCATTCAATGTGATGGCCATGTGAGATCTTGCTAAGTTTCATGAGCCACACTGTATAGCTAGATCTGCAGCATGGGTTTGACCCTGCCACCACTTCTCTGAAATTTGGATCGCTCGCAAAAGAGAATTGGTGAAACCATCACCAATGTACAGATCTGTACTTTGGAGAAACAAAACAACCACTTCACAAACACGTGGCACAATGTGGGACAAGATTGATTGATTGATTGATTGATTGATTGATTGATTGATTGATTCATTCATTCATTCATTCATTCATTCATTTATTTATTTATTTGATTTGTCAACCGCTTACAAGATAATAGGTATAAGTATATACATAGTTATGAACACATGAAATGGGTACATATAAGAAAAAGAAAAAGAAACAATAGGACAGGGACGGTAGGCACGTTGGTGCGCTTATGCACGTCCTCTCCAGACCTCTTAGGAAAGGGGTGAGGTCAATAGTAGACAGTCTAAGGTTAAGGTTTTTGGGGAAGAAACCAGAGTCAGGTAGAGTATTCCAGACATTGACTACTCTGTTGCTGAAGTCGTATTTCCTGCAATCAGGTTTGGTGCCCATTCAGCCGCCCACCTGCATTTGAAAGACAAAGGTGCAATAATAGCTGGCAGGCTTTTTACACCCAGCAAAAAGTACATGAACACGAACATGTCTTTTGGATTTAACGGACAGACAGGATTAACGGACACACCTCTCTCCAAATGATTTTCTAAATTGAAGGGATTTTTTTTGTACATGTTGCTACGCTCTTCCATTGTTGCTCTGCATATTCATTGAACTTTCCAAAAACGTCAAGCGCCCCTATGGTCACCCTCCCGCGAGCAGAATTATTCAGAATCTGGGGAAATCGTTCTGTTTTTAAAACTTCAGTCATCATTGTGTACGTGACAAAGTTTTCCTCCTTCGTAGCTTCAGATAAAAATTTTTACATATCCATCCTTCAAGGATGGCACACTGCCTGTTCTCCCTTCCTAGAGGAAGCATCCAGAAACTCCGATTTATTATTACGTTTCTCCACATATTCTCCATGGAAGCTAGCAATTTTCATGGTCCAAAAAGCAGGATCATTTTCCCCCTTCTTTGGGCAGACCTTTGGAATATAAGGAAGGGAGGGGACATCTCTATAAGAAGCACTCATTATTATAGGAATATAGTCCTTGACTTACAACCATTCATTTAGTGACCATTTGAAATTACAATGGCACTGAAAGCTGACTTAAGACCATTTTTCACATGTCCATTGCAGCATCTTCTTGGTCACGTGATCAAAATTCAGAGGTTCGGCGACTGGCCAATGTATTTATGATGGTTGCAGTGTCCTAGGGTCACGTAATCACCTTTTGCAACACTATAAAATCAGTGGGGAAACCAGATTCATTTATTAACCACGTTACAGGTAGTCCTTGACTTACAACAGTTTGTTTAGTGTCCCTTCCAACTCTGTTAATCTGTTAAAATCTGCTTGTCAACCCAGAAGCTGGCTGGACGGTGGCCAACTTCCTGTTACACTGGGGTTTTTCCTTTCTTCAAAGCTTTAGTGCTGACAGAGACTGAGGATGAGGGATAGGGAGGGGTGGAGTTGTAGAGAAAGGCTGAGGCGCTATAAACAAAACAACATTCTTTCCCCTGGGAACCAAGGTCATGTGTGCAGGAGGTTGGGAGGTGGAGACTGAGGTCATCCAATGTCTGGACTGTGTATCAACTAGTAAAACATTCCTATGCTTGTTTTCAAGTTGCCATAAGTGTATGTGGGGGGACAGGGGACAGGTGGACCCAGAAGTACATTCCACATATATCTCACAAAGATTTGTAGCTAGGCTATTAGATCTTCTGCCCATGAAAATCCTTCATTGGAGAATGTGATTGATGACGCCCAGCCCGTAAATGTGCTTTGTTGGAGAATCTGATTGATGATACACCCAGGGGGGAGGGGGGGAAAACAAGGTCACCGATGACCGTAAATCACATATATCAGAGTTGGCTTTAAACTGGGATAATGCCGACGTGTTGCTCCTACTTTTGGATTCTTTTGAAGCTTGGCTCGAGGCTCATGATTTAATTAGGGCAATCGCCGGAACCCTGACATCAAGCCAACTCTGTCCCATGTGCTGATTGGACGATGTGACTGACGCCTCTGGGGAAGCAACAAACTTTTACTTTTTAATTAAGGGGGAAAAGTGGCGGGGGCTTTAGATCCGGTTTTCACCAGCATTGTGCCAATATGACACGCCCTGATAAAATGTTCTTTGAAGAGACCTTGTGCCTCTGAGTTCTTTCGTTCGGGAGGGAGGTGTTAGTTGGGTCCCTGACTCTGCTTCCATTCCCTCTTGCAGGTGATCAGAAACAGCGCGATGGGCCTGCCCGAACTGGAGCTATTTCCCCGTTACCTGCTCTTCCTGAGACAGCAGCCAGCTACCCGGACCCAGCAGTCCAATGTCTGGGTGAACATGGGTATGATGAGCCTGAGGCTGTTTCCTCAACATTGGCCGAGAGGTAACGTAAGACTACAGCAAGAACCCAGCTGCGCAGTAGTTCTCGAGGGGAGGCCGGCTCCACCGCCCAGACTTCGCCGCCTGTGCTGCCACAGTGCTTGTAAATGACACTAATGAACCCCTTAAAAACACGGTTGGTGATGGTTGTCCCCTCTCTTCTCCCCTTTCAAAGGGATCCAAAACTCTTTATCAAAGGTCACGGAAGCATTCGGCCGTTTTTCTTTTCCTCATTTCGAACCCCTTGGTGAGGCCGCGCTTGGAACAGGGCGCCCAGTTCTGGTTCAACACGATACAAAATAGAGGTTGAGGTTCCGGAAAGAGTGCAGAGAGAAGAGCAAACGAAAGAGGGTGAAGGGGTCCGGAGGCTAAATCTGGGCGATCAACAAGTTGAGGGAGTGAGGTATGTCTACCCCAGGGGTGCCACACTCAAGGCCCATGGGCCAGAAGCAGCCTCTACGGAGCTTAGATCTGGTCCACGGGGTCGCACTGGAAACAAGAAATGACCGGTCCATGGTGCCTCTGCCAGCGAAAATGGAGCTTGGGTCCTCCCGAGCTCCATTTTTGCTGACAGAGTGTTGCAGGAGGCCATCGCAGCTGAAAACGGAGCTTGGGAGGACCATCTGAGCTTCATTTTCGCTGGCAGAGGGTTGCAGGAAGCTGTCACAGCCAAAAACGGAGCTCAGGAGCCTGTTTTTGCTGGCAGAGCGCTTGGGCCACCATCTGCGCCCCCGACATGAGCGATGTCAAGCTGACTAGCCCCTTGAGGTCAAACACAATCCTGATGCGGCCCTCAATGAAATTGAGTTGGACACCCCCTGGTCCACCCTATCGAAGGATTAAGGGGGACGTGATCACTGTCTTCCATCACATGTCGCAAAGACAAGGGAATTGACTTGTTCTCTAAAGCAGGGGTCCCCGACCCCCCAATCTGCGGACCGGCACTGGGCTGCACCACGCCAGCAACTGGGCCGTGCAAACAAACGAAGCCCCTATCCACGGCATGCAGGCAGCGCACGAAACCATGCCCCCTCCTCTCCGTGGAAAAACCTTTCTGCCTGAAACTGACCCCTGGTGCTCAGAAGGTTGAGGCCGTTGCTCTAAGGTAGAAGAAGGCAAGCCAAGAAGTGAAGGGTGGAAGCTTGTCAAAGAGAGATCCAGCTTAGAACTAAGAAGAACTTTCCTGGCAAGTGAGAACAAATTAATCGGTGGAACTATTTACCTCTAGTCATTGTGGGCTCTCCATCACTGGAGGCTTTCAAGAAGAGACTGGACAACCACTTGTCTATTATGGTATAGGGTCTCCTGCTTGAGCAGGGGCTGGACTAGAAGACCTCCAAGGTCCCTTCCGGCCCTGTGATTCTATGATTCTGTCCTCGCCCACCGTAAAAAAAAAAAGCAAAAGTTTTTCAGTTTGCTGATGAAGCTGCACATTGCTGAGTCTCCAACCAATTATTTTATGAATGTAGTTGTGACTGCTCCATCACTGGAGGTTTTCACAAATAGACCGGACAACCATTCGACCAGGATATTATAAGGTTTCTTGCCTTGAACAAGGGGTTGGACTAGAAGACCTCCAAGGTCCTTCCAGCTCTATGGTTCTATGTTCTAATGGAAGGGTCCCCAAACTTGTCAACTTTAAGACTTGTGGACTTCAACTCCCAGAATTCTCCAGCCAGCATAGCTGGAGAATTCTGGGAGTTGAAGTCCACAAGTCTTAAAGTTAACAAGTTTGGAGACTTCTGTTCTAACAGAAAAGTGAACATAATTTGATACTGATGTTCTGGGATATATAGCATGGTGCCTGGGATAACAAAGGTGTACCTGTAGAAGCCTTTCTAGGAATCTCCTGGTCCATTGGCCCTTCACCTTTCTTCATCAGCTTTCTTTCTACAAATGCATCCCAACTTTCATAGGACGTAGAAATGGCTTACTATTCCAAGCAACTCTGGGCGGCTGGCAATGCAATTTAAAAAATGTATAAATATGAAAATAATTTAAAATTACAAGAGTTTTTTTAAAAAAAATAAAAGGTATTTGTGGAGGGCCAATCAAAGAAGGGGATGTGGTGGCTCAGTGGCTAAGATGCTGAACTTGTCGATCAGAAAGGTCGGCGGTTCGAATCCCTAGGGCCGCATAATGGAGTGAGTTCCTTTTCCTTGTCCCAGCTTCTGCCAACCTAGCAGTTCGAAAGAACGTAAAAATGCAAGTAGAAAAATAGGGACCACCTTTGGTGGCATTCCATGCGCGTTTGGCGTTTAGTCATGCCAGCCACATAACCACGGAGACGTCTTCGGACAGTGCTGGCTCTTCGGCTTTGTAACGTAGGTGAGCACTGCCCCCTAGAGCCGGAAACGACTAGCACGCATGGGTGAGGGGAACCTTTACCTTTACCTAATCAAAGAAGAATCGTTTCCTGTGAGGAAAAGAAAAGGGGCGGGGAAGGAATCATGGTTCTCCTTCCTGGCCTCGTAGAAACTTGGTTGCCGAAGCTGTCTCCTTACCACAGTGTTCCTCTCCTGGCAACAGTCTTCCTTGGGGTGGGAGAAAATGACAATAGCACTTAGGCTTATATACCGCTTTATAGTGCTTTACAGCCCTCTCAAAGTGGTTTACAGAGCCAGCCTATTGCCCGCCAACAATTTTGAGTCCTCGTTTTACCCACCTCGGAAGGATGGAAGGCTGAGTCAACCTTGAGCCTGGCGGGATTCGTTCTTCCCCATTGCAGTAGGAGTAGCTTGCGGTACTGCACTCTAACCACTGCGCCACTGAGGCTCAGTGAGTGCCCTTTCCCTTCGATGAGAAGCTCACAAAAAGTGGTTTTCAAGATCTCTGACCTTACCAGCTGGCCTTAGTCCTAGATAGTAGGTGAATTCCTGCAATCAAAATGGTATTAGCTGAGTAAGCCAGATTTCTGGAAGAAAAAGCAGGATGCTGTGTTGACCTTTAATAAGAGTTTGCTTGAACGCTCATTCTAAACCTTCAACTCTGGGTGTGTGTGGTTGGGTTTTATTTTTACTGCTTCTGCCCCCACCCCCACCCCTGTAAAAAAGAGGGGGGGTCTCAGGAAAGCCCTCCTCCCCCCGATTGGTGAAAATCAGTGGCTCATATTAATCCGAATATAACCAAATCCAGCCAGCTGCTCATCAAAAACTTGATTGAATATCCTGCGGTGGGAGCTGCTTTGCCTTCAACACATCAATGTCCCCCGATTGGGAGGAGGAGGGACTTGTGTATCTGAATGTGATTTGGCATTTGTTCGCTCGGCACTAACGGTGAAATCAATCAGGAATCGTGAGCCTGCCCTCCATCCCAACATGCTTTCTTGCTGTAATCTTATTCTTAATCTCTCGCTTTTCGATTGTGAGGTGGGGAGGGAAATGGCTTTGTGTTATATACAGAGACGATGCTTTGCTGGATGGTGAAGGTGGGAGGGAAATACCAGGGTGTGAAAGGGACCAGACGCTTCCTGCTTTACAAAGAAATTGAAAAATTCAAAATTTTGCTGTTTTTCGTTAACCTGCATGCAAATAAATTGGGGCTCTGGCCTTGTTTGGAACAAGCTGGATGTTTTTAAGTTTTAAATATTGGTTATTACAAGAGCAGGCATATTCCCCCACCCCATCAAATAGGACCTACTTATTCATTGACCCAAAGAAAACTCTCAGACAGAATAGTTCAGTAAACTTTATTATTTATTTATTTGCATTCGACGTTTTATTGTTTTTAACAATTCAAGCTGGACAACATATCCAACAAACCTTCCTCCCATTCTCCCCACAACAACAACCCTGTGAGGTGGGTTGGGCTGAGAGAGGGGGATTGACTATTCCAAAGTCTGGCTTTCATGACTAAGCAATCCAGAACTGAGGAGAAATTTTCTGTCAGTAAGAACAATTAATCCGTGGAACAACTTCCCTCCAGAAATTGTGGATGCTCCAACACAGAATCTCCATAGATTTGAGCTATGCGCTTTGGGACGAACCTCCTTCGAATGGTGTGGGAGTAGGAACAGAATTACCACAAAAAAGTGCAGACTACAGGAACCATTTGCGCTTCAGTTTGAAATGCAGACAACATAGATTCATCCCCAACAGCCTGTGCCTGTCTTCTACAGAGAAGGGACATAGGCCATAGAAAAACATCCTGCAGAAAGCACAGCTCCACAAGATAGGAACCAACCTAACCCCTTGTACACCTGTTGTCTTGATACCTGGAAATGTTTGATCCCATTTTACCATCTCCATTTATTTGGTCTTCCCGGAGAAAGAGGTATCAGCCCAGTATTTTCACCTCCCCGATTTTGCCTCTGTTGAGAGTTGGAGAGGCCTGCAAATTTACTCAAGAGCCAAACTGCGTGTTCACTTTTTGCCCAGGGGTTTGCAACCTTAAACACTCAAAAGAGTCATTTGGACCCGTTTCCCACAGAAAAGAAAACACAGGGAGCCAATAATTTTAACAACTGGTGTGACTGGGTGGTGGTGGCCAACTCGATGTCACTCACTCCCACCCAGACACCTGATGCTCTGGAATATGGAGGGAGTCTCCATCCCTTGCCATCACGCTTACCTTCTCAGGCCAGGCGAGAAGTGACAGGGAGGGGAGGTTGGGATCAGCCGACAGGGAGCCTCAGCAGAGGGCCGAAAGAGCAGCATGTGGCTCCAGAGCCGCAGGTTGCAGACCCCTGACTTAGCCATTCTGTCTCTTGTGTTTCCTGCCTGTTTTTGCTTTGGACCTCTTGTAAGTAAGCAAGAGGGGCCAGCCAGCCAACTCCTAAAAACACCAGCAAGTCCAGATCGACCCAAACACATTGATTTGCATGCTGTTGTGAGCACAGGGGGTCTCCAAACCTGGCGACTTTTAAGGCTGGAGGACTTCAACTCCCAGAATTCCTCAGCCAGCATCGCGACAAACCCCCACCCCCTCCCCACTGTATCTTGTCCCTTTGGCTCTTAACTTCCATTTCTGTCTGCTTGTGAACTTAGGGAACGTCCCATCTCCCAGCGCCCCCTTGAAGAGGGTATTGGCCTACACCGGCTGCTTTAGCCGCACCCAGACCATCAAGGAGATCCACGAATACCTGTCGCAGCGGCTGAGGATGAAAGAGGAGGACATGCGCCTGTGGCTGTACAACAGCGAGGTAATGGCGGAATCACGGCTACGGAACTGTTGGGCTGCCAGCCCGTGCATGGTCGTTGGAAGTTGAAACACCTGATCTGATTGGTGGGGTCCAAAGCAGATGGCTTTGGTATTAGTGGTTAGTTACTTCTCCTTTGATTGCAGCTTAGTTCAGACATGCTAAGCTAGCCCTCTTGGGATATGCAGAGCCAGCATACAGATAGTCCTCAGCTTACAACCGTTTGTGTTCTGACCCAGCTCCACAAACATAGCAAACCCTCTGAAGTGAACTCAAAAGGTTCCTTTAATTAGGAGTGCCAGTAGTTTCTCTCTCGCCACAGGCTAACAAGTCCGGCCAGCCGGAAGATGAATAGTGTCTGCCACACCCGTTCGTCTCCACCTCCTGCCTTTTATTCCCAGAGCTGGGGTGGAGCTTCACTAGCAGCAGTGGCTCTTCCATCCCAAAGATCAGCCCATAGATTTCCACTGCTCTCCTCTTCTCTCTGCCTTCTGCACCTCCATGCATCCGGCACTGGACCCAGCTGTTCCTCCTCTTCCTCACCAGCCATCTCCACACCTGGGGGCTGTTGAGTCTCCATTGAAGGCTGACGGATGGCCCAGGCTCCGCCTCTCTCTGTCTCTGTCTGTCTCTCTGTCTCTCTCTCTCTTTCTCTCTCTCTCAGGGCTATTTGAAAATACACACATTAGCTGCGTGTTAAGTCAGTGTAGCTCAGGATTAGCAAAATTTCTGAATTAACAAGGGAAGATCAGCTCTACCTGATCATCAGATTTTGCTGTTGTAAGGATAGGAAAACTCACTTGCAGTTTTTTTTTCTCTCTCTCTACAGAACTATCTTACTCTTCTAGACGATGAGGATCATACACTGGAATACCTGAATATTCAAGATGAACAGCACTTAATTATAGAAGGTATAAAATAATTGTTGTTTTAACCTAATATTCATGGCTGGCAATGGGGAATTCTGGGAGTTGAAGTCCACACATCTTCAAGTTTTAGTGAAAAGAAGGACTGGGGAGACATGATAGCAGTGTTCCAATATCTCAGGGGCCGCCACAAAGAAGAGGGAGTCAAGCTATTCTACAAAGCAGGAGAAGAAGCAATGGGTGGAAACTAATCAAGGAGAGAAGCAACTTAGAACTAAGGAGAAATTTTCTGACAGAATAATTAATCAGTGGAACAACTTGCCTCTAGAACTTGTGAATGCTCCAAAACTGGAAGTTTTTAAGAAGAGATTGGATAACCATTTGTCTGAAGTGGTGTAGGTTTTCCTGCCTAGGCAGGAGGTTGGACTAGAAGACCTCCAAGGTCCCTTCCAACTCTGTTATTCTATTCTATTCAAGTTGCTATGTTTGAGAAATACTGCTCTAACCACTCAGTCACTGCATGACCAGGGGAGCAATATAGCGAGGTTTTACCTGGAGCAACAGAAGGAAAAAAAAGGTCAAACTCCCTTTGCTACAATTCCCAAAAGTTCCTATATTGTTCCTAATCACTCCAAGTAACACATCCGCCAAAAGCAGTACCCCGAGGCAGGTAGATTCCTCAAAGAACATGTTTATTGGATACATCATATTGGCACAAGCTAGTGAAAACCAACTCTAAAGTTTCCCACAGTTTCAGCCTAACTAAAAGAGCAATTGTTTCCCTCCCAAATGTCAGAGGTCACATTGTCCAATTAAAGTAGTTGGTGGGCTGCTTGGTCTTCCTCTCTTTTAACTGGCAGTTGGGATGACCTTGGTTCCCACAAGAAAACTGTTTGTTTTGACTACTAGCCAGTCTATATACTTTCCCCTCCCTTCCCCGCTTCAGAGTTGGTGGCAACTAAGAGGCAGCAAAAGATGGCTTCAGCCAGGTTCATTTCAGAGTTGACACACTCATTCTTAAAAAGTTTAATATGAGCCTTGGTTAATTAACTTAAGAATTCTTCTTTCCCCCTCTATTGTTATTTTTTCCCATTCATTTATCATTGGAAGTTCATATTGCATTTTTTAATACGATGACCTTTCTGGAGAGCTGGAGGCCAAATCCGATGCACAATATATGGAAACTGTGTTTCTGTTCAGAAATTTCTCACCTGCGAACATCTGAGGATTTCTTTCCGGGCTGAGAACTTTTAATCATTTTGTTGGGATCCTTGATGGCAGCAGCCCCAATGGGCGGCTCTCTGGCTTCAAACCACATTGTGGTTTTTGTAAATATAAGGATCCTTCTGTCTTTGTAAAGAGGCTGGCCTTTCAATCTCATGTTATTGGAGTCAGTTGCATTCTAAATGCAATGGAGTTGGTGCCAGCTAAGCTTTGATCTCTTCTTGTTGCAGTTCGCAATAAAGACATGAGTTGGCCGGAAGAGATGTCATTTATAGCAAACAGCAGTAAAATTGACAGGCATAAAGGTAAGTGTTGCTTTCTTATTCCCTTGACAAATTAATAGAGTGAGCTGTTGGGAATTCCAAGCAGATAGATCCCGCTAGTAGGTTGCTGGATGATTCTAGTAAGATGGTAAATTCAAACTAGTAGTTCCTATCCAGTTTTGGTCATCACAACACAAAAGCGATGTTGGGATTCTAGAACAGGGCTGTCAAACTCATGGACCACAGGCCAGATGCATCACGTATTGGCCATGCCACCCAGTTTAGGGGGAAAGTTGCACTTCGTCACATGACGCCACCGTGACAATGTGAGTTTGACACCGCCTGCTCTAGAAAGAGGACAGAGAAGAGTAACAAAAATGATTAAGGGTCTGAAGGTTAAAAGAAAAAATGAACACTTGAAAAACTGGATATGTCTAGGCTAACAAAGAGAAGGACTAGAGGTGACAAGATAGCAGCCTTCCAATATTTGAGGGGCTGCCCCAAAGAAGAGGGGTCAGCTTCTTCTCCGAAGCCCCTGAAGGCAGAACAAGAAGCAACGGATGGAAACTAATCCAGGAGAGAAGCAACCTAGAATTAAGGAGAAATTTCCTGACAGTGAGAACAATTAACCAGTGGAACAACTTTGCCTCCAGAAGTTGTGGATGCTCCATCACTGGAGGTTTTTAAAAAGAAATTGGACAGCAGTTAGACTAGAAGACCTCCCCACCCCCCAAAAAATCCCTTCTAACTCTTCGGTTATTCTGAAGATCAAACTGGATTAACTCTGGCTGCAAGTAATGCCGCACACTGTTTTGAAAGTTTGCTTTCATTTCTTTCTATCTGATTTGGGAGGGCTTAACTTATCAAGCTGTCACCTGTTTCGAAAATGATTCAGGGAAAGGTATTATGGTCAAGTGCAGCATCTTGCCTTTAAAGCAGCCCAGCCTTTTTTCAGGGGTTTGAAAGTTGTCCTAAGCAGATGCTTAAAGTTGTAGCATCTTTTTTCAGGCTCACAGGGAAGGCGATGCGTAGCAGCCATTGATACATACTAATGCCCAGCCGGGCTTATAACTGAAACCTTCCTAGCTTGCTCCTGTCTGAAAAGTATTTTTTTTAGTACTGGGTACCATTTCAATTCTCCATCGTTCTTAACACATGGTGGGATATTACCATTCTTCTTGGGGTTGCCACTTTAAATTTCCCACAAAAAGGGATCAGGACACTGGAGGTAAATTTGTCCCCTTCTTCTCCCTTTTTCCCTGTATGCACGTGTTGCATAGCTTAATATTGTTTGTTTGTCAGTTAAAAATTTTTTGCCATCTGTCTCCCCATGCCATCTACTCTAGGCAGCTTACCATAATAAAAAGGAAGAAAATGAAAGGTGTTTAAACAGAAGTAAAATTATAGAATTATAAAATAAGCAATGAAAAAAAGAACACAACGAGAATTTATCAATATGATAACCAAAATGATGGACAGGTGGGGAGATGGAGTCTGCCATCAATCCAGGAACCTACCCCAGAATAGATAATATACTGTTTATTATCATTATTTATAATTATACGTTTATAATTTGTAATAAAAGAGCTGTGGTGGTGCAGCGATTGGAATGCGGTACTGCAGCTAATTCTGCTGACTGCAGGCTATCAGCAATTCAGCAATTCAATTCTTATTAGCTCAAGGTTTGACTCAGCCTTCCATCCTTCCAAGGTCTGTCAAATGAGGACCCAGATTGTTAGGGGGGGCAATGTGTTGACTCCATAAACCACTTAGAGAGGGCTGGAAAGAACTCTGAAGTGGTATATAAGCAGGGGTGGGATTCAAATTTCTTAACAACCAGTTCTGTAGGCATGGCTTAATTTGTGGGTGTGGCTCGGTGGTCATGTGACTGGCTGGGCATGGCTTGTATATAAATATTATAAATATTTATGTAAGTATTGAATTTTTTTATTAAAGAAAGAGCAACTTTTACCCAAAATCAGACAAAGCAGGCAGGCAGATTGAGTTGCTTGCAGAAGCACAGATTCACTCAGAGATCTATCTTTCTGCAATCTGCTAGCTGAGTCTGTCCCATAGAATTTGCTTGCAAGCAAATTCACAAAATTAACTCACAACACACCATGTATATAAATATTGATTTTTTTTATTTAAAAAAGAGCAACTTTTACCCAAAAGCAGGCAAAGCAGGCAGGCAGATTGAGTTGCTCACAGAATCACAGATTCATTCAAAGGTCTATCTTTCTGCAATCTTCTACCTGAGTCTGCACTGAAAAAATAGAAGCTTCAGTCCTAAGGAAGGTTCAGCTCTGTTTTTAGATTAGCTAGAAAGCAAGAAATCCAATGATTTCCTGCTTTCTAGCTAATCTAAATCTCCCTGCACAGCAGAACAGCTGATGGTCAGTGGGGAAAAAAGGAAAAATAGCAACTTAGCAGGCAAGTTTGATGGCATGCATACCAGGTAAGGAGTAAGTGGATGGGGCGGGGCCAGCCAGTGGTGCGATTTGCCGGTTCTCCGAACTGTGCAGAATTGTAACAACCGGTTCTATAGAACTGGTCCGACCAGGTTGAATCCCACCCCTGTATATAAGTCTAAGCGCTATTGCTATTGCAGGCAAACTCTGCCCACTGCCAGGAGTTCATTCCTGACCGAATCCAAGGTTGACTCCATCCTTCCAAGGTCGATAAAATGAGGACCCAGATCGTTGGGGGCAATAATTGGACTCTGCAAACCTCCTAGAGAAGTCTAAGCGCTATTGCTATTATAATTATTCATAATGAATGTCCTGCTGATTTCCATAATTTTTTCCTTCCAGTTCCGACAGAAAAAGGGGCCACGGGCTTAAGCAACTTGGGGAACACGTGCTTCATGAATTCAAGCATCCAGTGCGTCAGTAACACACAACCTCTTACCCAGTATTTCATCTCCGGCCGACATCTGTACGAGCTGAACAGGTAGTTCTCACCCGTGACTCAAGGAGGAATTGAAATATGAACAGAAGTGGCTGTGATGGTGTGCGTATGTGTGTGTGCTTACAGGTAGCCCTCGACTTACAACTGTAATGGAGACTGCCCATTACGGTCGTAAGTTGGGATGGCTGTCAAGCAGATCATCCCGTGACCGATCTGATTTTACGACCTACTTTTGTGATGTGGTCATTAAATGAATCACCATGGTCATTAAGCGAAGCCACGTTGCGAAGCAAAGCTACTGTTCATTATGGGCCGGGGTTTTTTTGCCAGAAACTGGAAATAAATGCCAATTTTCAGCAGAAATCACAGTCCCATCACTGTGGGACCCTGCAAACGGCCATAAATGCGGGTTGGGTGCCCAAAATGTGGTCATATGATTATGGGGGGGAGGGGCTGTCAAAACCGGTCATAGGTACCTTTTGCAGGGATCCGTCATAAGTTCAAACAGTTTGCCAAGCGGCTGGTCGTAAGTCGAGGACTACCTGTATTGTAAAGCGATCCAAATAGTGAGAACAAACACACTAGAAATAGAAAGGGCTGCCACTGTTTCCTACTGATTCCCTGGTTCTAATAACAACATTATTGCTTGCTTAGTTTTTATGCACACTGGGAAGGATTGCAGGTTCTCTGCCTGAGAGGCTGGCAAATCACTTAAACAAACAAATTAAAAATATTATCCCTGCAGGTAGACGTCTAGCCTTTATCTCATTTAATATTTTTATTGAATTATCAAATAAAATAAGATACAAAATACAAAAATAAATAGGGAGGAAGAGAAGGCCTTCTCTGCATCTAAAAATATTAAGGCAGCCTGTTTCTCATTATGATATTGTAAGTATTCCATAATATTTAAGACAAGCCCTCACATTATCTCTTAGCTGTCTTTTCGGCAGAAAGCCTGCTTGGACTTCATGCGTATAAAATCTTTTTGTCAGAATGGCAGTGAAGAGTTTCTAACCTTTGTTTAATAATGAAATTGGCCTATAATTCTTTGTAACATCTTGACCCTCCTTTGGGAGTGACACAGTGTTGGCTTTTTCCACGTCTGGGGTACATTTCCCTGCTGTAGTATATCATTCATTGTGTCCTTTAGTGGTTGAAGAAGTTCCTCCTTGAAGCACTTACAGTATTGGCTTGTGAGACCACCTGGGCCTGGGGCTTTGCCTGGCCTCATTTTTTTAATGGCTTCTGATATCTCAAAGGCAGTTATCGGATCGTTCATAAGTTGTATCTGGGTTTGTGATAGTTTAGGCAACTTTTATTATTACCTTTATTGTCAGAGTACAACATGCGTACAGTGAGCTTGGCTGAGTCTCTCTTTGTGCACCCCTCCCAACACGACTCACAGTGAGGACAAAAGTCCCTAACCCAGTCCCAATCTTATTACACTGTGTTGCCTTAAAAGATATTCATCTATTTTAACCCATCTATCTCCTGTCTTTTATACGAATTCAGATAGAAATGATGAAAGGACTTTTTAATAAGTTCATTACATCTAGCCTTTATAGGAGGAGATTCGGTGGAACCTTTGTCCTGCCTACATTTAGGGAGCAATTTAGTGGCCCGCCAGCGACTGACGGAGCTAGCAGCAAAGTCGGACAGTAGCGAGGAGGTTGGGGAGGAACCTAGGCCAGTCTTGGAGGCTGAGGAGGGCTCAGACGAGGGCTCTGCATCGGAGTCAGGGATGGGGCCAGGCCAGGCTGGCAGCCATCAGCCAGACTCAGACAGCAGTGAGGTGGGAGAGTTTCTGTAAATGGTTCCTATCCTGCGCATGCGCAGGGCTATCAGAAGACAAGAACAGTTGAGAAAGCAGGGTCGACTCCGGAGTAGGGCCACACCTTGGAGATGATCAGCCCCTCCCATAGGACATAAAAGAGGAGCAAACGGAATGTGAGCTTTTGCAGGAAGCAATTAGTTTCTCTGGTCAATTCAAGCTTTGAAAAGTTCTGTTTGACTCTGTGGCAAGTTTGGCCTTGCCCTGCGTTTGGCAATTAGTTCTCTGGCAGCATTCCAAGTGCGATAAGGTGGGTGTTTATAAATGTTCCCCTGAAAGCAGGGGTGGGATTCTACCAGGTCGCACCTATTCACTAGAACCGGTTGTTAACATTCTAAGCAGTTCAGAGAACCGGTTGCTAGAAGAAATTCCTGGGCTAATCCTGTAAGGAAGGCAGGAAGGAAACATTCTGGTGTTGCTTACAGAAACTGCCTCTCCGTTAACCCTTATTACATTCTTGGCAGGACTAGACTTCCTGTCTCTGGAACTTCTCTGGAGTTTTTTCCCCCTCCTTTGCTGGTACTTTGTTTGTGTGGAGTGGCCATTCAAAGTTACAATGGCACTGAAAAAAGTGACTTATGACCCTTTTTCACACTTACGACTGTTGCAGCATCCCCACAGTCATAAGAGGCCAGGCGAGGAAATGCATACCTTGATGTGAGTGATGTTGAGTTGGCCACGCCCAGCCGGTCACATGACCACCAAGCCATGCCCACCAACTAAGCCACACCCACAGAACCGGTTGTTAACAAATTTGACTCCCGCCCCTGCCTGAAAGACTGTTTGTGAAGCCTTGCAGGCTGTGAATGAATGTAATTCACAGCCGTGGAAATAAAAGAGATTTTGCCAGAACTGATTGTTTTCTAAGGAAGCCTAGGTCAGAACACCCTCTGCCATCTGAGGTTATATACAGATAGTCCTTGATTTACGACCGTTGGATAATGATGGTTCAAACTTACAGCAGCATTGAAAAGACTAGTTCTTGCACTCAGGACTCTCACACTATCCTCATGGACACACGGTCATTAATGTGGGTGCCTTTTGCAACCACATGTATTTATGACAAGTTTGCCCCATCATAATGGATCACCCTTTGCCACCTTCTCAGAGGGCTTCTAACGACCAGTCTCAATGGAGAAGCTGGATTTACATAACAGTCACAATGATTTGATTAATGACATGGGGGGAAAAAGGTCTTAAACCCTGGTGTGACTCACTTAACGGCCATATCATTTCACGATGGAAGTTCTAGTTCCCATTGGGTTTGTAAGACAAGGTCTACCTCTTTTCAAAATCCCATCAACTCATTCCTCAGTAGCCAAACAGGTAATCGATGGAACGAATTATGTTCTAAATTCCAGGACAAATCCAATAGGAATGAAGGGACATATGGCTAAATGCTACGGGGATTTGATTCAAGAACTGTGGAGCGGAACCCAAAAGAACATTGCTCCTCTCAAGTTGAGGGTAAGCCCCTGCCACGTTTCTTATTCCATTGCAGCTTCATTCTGAAATGGGGAATTTTAGAAAAACCACGTATTTCTTGACATATACAGGCCTGAAAGTGAGTCACCTTAGAATGGAATTTCCAATCAATTTCAAAAGTCCCCCATTTCCTGGGAGGCGGTATGGGACAAGCTTTGCTAGATATTCATTTCCCATGGATCTGAGCAGCAGGGAAGAGTAATTAGCATCCAGGTGAAACCTGGGCTACAAAGTCTACCTTCCTGAAATGATTTTACCTTAGTAGATGGGGGAGCACACAGACGTGGTAACGGCTTCCTTGAAGTCATTCCACCGATTGATTGTGTCACAGCAATCACATATGGCACTATTAAATGTTTTTTTTTTTAAATGTGACATTGAATAAGTCTAAGGGAGAAGAGGGGTCTAACGGTTAGGATGCTAGATGTCAGCCAAATCTCCAGCATGGGTTTCTGCCTCGTGCTTGCTCTTGGCTGAATTGTGCAAAATGACTGATTAGATTTACTTCCCCCTTTTGTAGTACATATGTTATGGTATAGCCTGAGAAGAAAAAACGTCCTGGGAAAAGCTGAGATTGTGAGCTTCATAAAAGCAACCCCTCAGGAATAGCCGGGGGTTCAGAATTTGCCATGCTAATGCTCTGAACCTTTTGCGCAAATAAACCTGTATTCTCTCACCCTTCGTGGTCTTGTGTCCTGATTTGAATGCGAGATCTGCTGCAACACCACTTCCGTGGGGAAGGTAACAGCGTTCCGTGTGCCTTGGCGCATAGTCACATAACCATGGAAGCATCTTCGGACAACTGTAGCTCCCTTGGCTCTGAATCAGAGATGAAGACTGCCCCTTAGACTGGACAAGGGAAAACCTTTACCCTTCTCTTTACCTTTGAATAAGGCACAGCTGGTTGATTTCACCCATAATGTTAAGCCGTGATTTACTCAAGGGTAGTGCCTTGTGTTTGCATGCACCATCAGCGTTGTGCCATTAACTCGGCCAAGGTGAGAATTCCCTCACTGTTCTTAACACCCATTGGGCCCGCTTTGCTTTGTTACAGTGGACTATAGCTAAATATGCCCCGAGGTTTAATGGCTTCCAGCAGCAAGATTCTCAGGAACTCTTAGCTTTTCTCCTGGATGGGCTCCACGAGGACCTGAATCGAGTCCATGATAAGCCGTACGTTGAGCTGAAGGACAGCGATGGCCGGCCGGATTGGGAGGTAGCGGCAGAGGTGAGTGACTTTGGGCCAATGCATGGCTCTCTCTCTCTCTCTGATTTTGAATGCAAATTTTGTTCTTCATGTTGAGGATTCTCTGAAATACTATTTTTATAGGACTTTATTCTTATTCTATACGTTCTTTTGTATATGGAATGGAATGGAATGGAATGGAAAGGAAAGGAAAGGAAAGGAAAGGAAAGGAAAGGAAAGGAAAGGAAAGGAAAGAAGGAAAGGAAAATATAGGAAGGAACAGAAGGGAAAGAAAAGGCAAATATGGGAAGGAAAGGAAGGGAAAGGAAAGGAAAGAAGGAGAGGAGAGGAAAGCAAAGGAAAGAGAGAAAAAGAAAGGAAAGAAAGAAAAAAAAGAAAGAAAGAAAGAAAGAAAGAAAGAAAGAAAGAAAGAAAGAAA